AAAAAAAAAAAAAAAAAAAAAAAAAAAAATACAAAGAATTTCAAAAGACCCGGAGCATGGACTTACTTTATTTTCATGCCTGGTACAAGAGGAAAAATTAAATAAACTGGAAGTTGGGGTCTGATATTCCAGACCCAGCTCTTCCGTACCTTTTTTTAATTAAAAAAGCTGGTTTCAGTTCTAAAATGCCCCACTAAAGGCAAAATTCTATAAAAATTCACTGCAAGCCTCAGGTACATGACTCAGAAAACTCCTATTAATCTAAAATGCTTCCAAAATAGTGCAGTTACTTAATGATCTAGATTTCTCAATGAAAGTTGCATTAGGACAAAAGTGTTCGATGATATTTCAACTTTTTGGGGAAACTATGAAACTTGTCCCTTATTTCTGAACCGAAAGAATAATGTAAATTATGACACACCATATCTTGCATCCTCTTTAACAGCCGAATAAAAAGTGCCTGTTTATGGAACACCATGGCAACCAAGCCCTGTAATTCTATCTCCAGAGGTAACTGAAGGGCAGTCAGAGCCATTAGTATTTGAGGACTTCACAGACCTTGCTTTTAGCGCCCTTCGTATAAGGGAGAATGAAAGCAGCCACTATTCTTAGAAAAGTAAAAGCAACAGTGACAATTAAGTCACCACATTAAGCATCCAAAGAAAATATTGACTCATATTCAATAAAACACAAATTAATTAAAATATGCTTCAAACATTACAGAATTTCAAATCTAGTACTTAGAGGTTTGTGAAAGGAAATAGCTAAAATATTTGTGTACATTGAGAAAATGCTGTATGACCCTTTAAAAAATGTAATTTAATTTTAAGGAGCTAAAACACCTAACTGGCTAAAGGGAAGATACAGATTTGCCATAATTTCATATGTCACATGCTTAGAATAACATTTAAGGAACTATCAAAACAGAGTAAAAGCTTTCACCATGTATTTGATTAAAAAGTCAGGGAACTGGAAGTTTACTGTCCCATGCTTCCTGAAGCCTGGGCCATGTGGACAGACAGGGAAAACTGGCCTGCACCGCACAGAAAATCAGGCAAGCTCACGTGCACACTCGCTGTTTCCTTTTTCACTTCAAAGAGAGTTTTCTAACATTTAAACTGATCAAAACTCAAAAGATAAAGAGCTGGACAGAGAGAGTCAGAGGGAAGCTCTCCACAATTTGCACTTCTAGGAAGAATGAAGATACATTCTGGCAGCATGTGGAACATCTTTTAACAGTCCTGTACCTTCTGCCCTCATGGACCATGTTGTCCTAGAGAAAACACAATGTGAAAAGCGCTCTTCTGTCTTATTTTCCATGAGCACTCCCATCTGTGAAGAGAAACTACATGCTCTGAGAATGACTCTTTGGCTGCCTGTGCACTTCCGCATCATGGCTGTCCAATCAAGTCACCAAAATAAAGAACAGGCTCAACATTATACCCTGCCCTGAAGGTTTCCGAAATCAAGACGTATTCTTTCTACTAAGAAGATCATACTTATCAAAATAGCCAGATAATTGCCACAAGATAATTATGATCTGTAATTATTATTGTTGGTGATTGTCAATGATGCATAGGGAAGAATACAGCTTGATTTTCAAAGCCTAACCCTGAAGAAGCAAGACAATCAAAAACTTGTTTTGACTAGTTAAAATGAACCAACATGACACAGAAGTCACAAAAGAAAAATCTCACAGAGGGAAAAATATATCCAATTGGCCTGACTCAGCTTTTCTCAAATATAAGTTACAAGCTCAAATTGTAGGAGGATCTTTCAAGAATCAGAAGCCTAGACCAAAACTCATGGCTGAAGACAGGTTCTGGAAAGGAGTGGGAAGCCTAGGCCATTCCAGTCTCTAAGTGAGAAGGATGAAGTCTGAACTCTGCTGTATCTTCAGGTACATACGGCAGAATCTTGTGGAATCGCACTGAATGCTAACTTGATACCACATGACATACGGATGGACAATAGAGACCAGACAAAATATTTGCAGTGAATAATTAAAAGTACTCACCACTAGTTCTATAGATTTCTGGTTCAAGTTGTTCAATTCCAAGGTGGCAGAGAGGCTCATACTCTATTTGAAAGCTCCTGTGCTACTTCAGCTCTAGGCCAATATGATTTGGAGCATTTTAGACCATCGCATGGATAAAGTCAATGCAATAAGCTTGTAATATAGCAAAAGTTTTCAAACCAACTTTAGTAACATTTAGTCTGTTTTACTTTAGGCTCTATAGAGACCCAATTTTGAAAATCTCAGATAAACGAAGATCCCCATTTCAAAAGATGAACTATAGCCAAGAGAAGAAATGTGTGTCTACATTACCATGAAAAAAAAGTATTTTTCAGAAATGTAGATCTCACAGATATATTTTACAAAAATGAGTTTTCAAAAATATCAGGAAAGATGCACTCACTTTTTCTGCCTCATTTGTTAAAATCACTTTCTGTCCATTTCATCATCATCCCTATATTCTACCATACAGTGGCCTTTGTTTACAGTGTCTGAATGGATTAAGAAATCCTGAGGCTTCAGTGGAAAGAACACAGGATAAAGCTAGATGTGTCTAATACTTGCTTCTTTTCTCCCAAGACAACTTCTGCCCGAACTATTAAGATCTCTCAAATTGCTGCAATTACCTAAGATCACTGAAATAGGACAGCCAAAAGCTCCATTTCATCCTGGAGCATAAGGACTACAGTGGGATCTTTCATTTATAAATAAACAGGGGTATACTCTGTAACAAAAACACAAATCAAAGATTACATTTGAAGGCATAACTTTATTATGTTCACTACTGGGAGAAAGGTAATCTCAATATATGCATTCTTTTTCTACTCTGTTGAAATCTAAACAGTACACTATTGTATGCAAAAGGTTGTTTCAGTGAAAGATATTTTTGGTACTTTAAAAGGCTGGTTTTGCTATTATTCTTGAAAAAACTAAGTTTTATTCTTAGAAAAAACTAAGTCTCTTGTCTATTTTTCATTTCCTTTATTAATTTGCTAGGCAAATCCTTTTCATCCACTTTATATATAAAGTATGTAAGTTAAATCTCAGTCATAGCTTCCTATTTGCCCTGACAACATATCTTACTTAAAGACAGATATGCATATCAGACTTGGGGCACTGCTCTGCCTCACTGCTCACATAAGATAGGGACAAATTAATCCAAAGTACAAGGTTGACTGTAAATGAAATGGGGTTTACTATATATAAGCAAACTGTATACATTTACTGTGTGTGGTATACACACACACACACACACACACACACACACATCTTGGTAATTTATTTAACTTGATACACATTACTATATTCTGTTAGTCTGCTGTGAATATTCCAAACATTTACAGGTATTCCCTTTTAAGCTATTTGTAGCTTCCCTTAAAGACTAGGTTAGCAATACGGAAGAAATAGCATTTGATAGTATACAAATATTCCTGATGCCAAAAATGACAAAAGAACTCGTATCTTCAGAGAATATTTTGCTAAACAATTTCAAAGTACTCATCAGTGTCTCACTTTCTATAACTGGATAAACACAATACTGGAGGGCAACAAAATTCAAATGGATTGAACAAAAAGTGGATGGTCAAGAAGAGCAAATTTTAGTCTCAGGATTATTAATGACCTTTAAGAACCCCAAATATTTTCCTATTGGAAAATATGCCTTATGCAGTGTGAAAAATAAAAGTAATTTGTTTTAGAAGAGTTTCATGTAAGATTTTAAAACACAGGCATAGTCTCAAGGGTTAAAAAGTAAGAAATTTGTTAATATCTTAGCATTTAATACCTATAAAACCGTGATTAATAAACAAGCTAAAACATGTAAACGGTGTTTAGATTTGAAAATGTGCTGTCAATAAGAAATCGTGTGTTCAATTGTGTATCAGGAGACCACACTGTTCTGCCTAAGAGTGGGTGTGACAGAGCAACAGTGACCCCCCTCGCTGCTCCACCCTGCCCCCCCAAAGGAAAGATTCTAACCCAGCATATAACCTATAAAGTGTTCCAATAAAATGATTAGGTGTATCATATGTAAGTATTTTTTCCTTTAACTTATTCTCCAAATTTGGCCAAACTAAACATTTAATACAAAAATCCTGCTCAAGAGCAGTGATCCCTACAGGGCTGTGTCTTGCAATCACCCTGACATTCTCTTGCCTCATCACATCACTCAAAACCATGATAGTCTAGAAAGAGGCCATTCTCTCTTAGGAATATCAGCTCAAGGGTTAGAGCTTAAGTAAAAGCAGTTAGAGCAAAAGAAAACAGACACACACATCCTCAAACACACTCACACAATCATGGCAACTCTACTGACAATGGCTGAATTTCATTTCAAGCAGATTAATTTAATGATTCTTTGCTATTAAAAAAAATTTCAAGTCAAATGCTCAAGCATATTTCAATATAAGGAAAAAAGGGTATAAGGGAAAAAGCAGCTACAATTTAAAATTGTACTCCACAATGAAATGAACATTAATTGTGAAAAAAAAGACACCGAGAGAGTGCTGGCCTGTAGACACAAAGGCCTGCCATGTGGCAGAGAGAATGACTCAGCTCTGGGACAACCTGACGGCATTTTCCTTCCTCCCACACCTGCAGCTGCTTGATTGGAGTCACAAACTGGAGTCATGGCTTAAGAATATTTGATTTCAACAATAAACTGAAGGTAGAATATTATTTTCACTTTTCCTCTGAAAGATTAGTTGAAGAGAATACCAATGACTCACAATAGAGATATACGCTCTAGTTGAAAACATACCATGGCCATATATATTTGCTTTAAAAAATTTGATTATGACAAGTTTCAGGTAAAAATCATTTTTAAAGGTCAATTTTTCATTTATATAGAACCAATACATCTTATTTACACATATGACTCAATTTTTATTCAACTTCCTTCATATAAAGTAATGGTATATAACTGTTCTATACTGTTTTTACAGAAATACTAAACATCCTCTTATTCATTAGCAGCTTGGGCGATAACAGTTTGTCTCCACATTGAGAAATGAATATAGTTAAAAGCCAATGAATAACATAAAGATGAAAACCCAGTGTTAACATCCTGTCTAGGGCCACATCAGTTATTCAAGGAGTCAACTGCCCCATCTGCATAAATTATAGCTGCAACAAAACACAAAGCAAATATGATTCTGAAGACCCTGAAAAAGATCTCTGACTTATAAGACATTAACCACTGCTTGATGCTATTGATGTTCATTCTTAAACTGGGTTCATTTTTTCTTTTCAAAAAAAACACTGATTTTTCTAGTAATATTTAATCTTAAAAAGGTATCTTAGGTCTTTAACCCTCAGAGAACTTGTATATTTCAGCAATTAACCAAAAAGATAAGGAACATGTATCTTTGTGCACAGTCTCCAAAGGGTTAAAGTGCAGAAATTGTCTGTCACCTGTTATATAAGGCACCCTATTCCACTTTTTTCTTAAAAGAAACTTTTCCTTTGGTTTCTTGTAATTTTTCAGTGAGTCTATCCTTTGTTTCTTCCATTTTCTCTGTGAGAAGCTCCTTGGTCTCTTCCATCCTGTCTTGCAGATACTCCTTAACAGGAGGTGGCGTCGACATGTAGCCCCGACTACGCAAATACTTCACAGTAAAGGAGGTTCCTCCCAAAGTCACGGTATATCGAGCAGGGGTTGCAATCTGAGGAGAAAACACAGGCAGATCAATAGCTGATCATGATTACTGCCTTAGGCAAAAACAATTTGAAATTAAAATTCTTAGTAACAGCCAAATAGCACAAACTACTTTGTTGCTGACCAGGCCGAAACAGTTATGGCCTACATGGTTTTCCCTCCTAACAAGGGATGTTTCTTTTGTAAATGCATTTTACAAATATCTGTCACTTAGACACTGACCCCAGGATGACAGAATATTTCCAGTAGAAGCACTGGAGCCTATACCCATGTGCTAGTGAACCTGGGGACATGCTCATTGGGGAATGAGAAAGATGGCTCAGGACCACTACAAACAACAAACATGCAAATGCTTCTATTCCTTAAAAACCTGGCCAATCTACAGACAATGTGTATCTAGAACTAAACCAGAACCAAACTACTTCAAATTGGCAAGAGGAAAACATGGGCCAAATGTTTATTCTTTACTGAATTTAGTATAGTTTCACTTCCAAATCCCTTTGACTTTTCCAGGCCTTATGCTACTTTCTCATTACACCCTGGGTCTGAAATCCCAACTGGGAACATTCGGGAGGCCAAAAAAGTGATTGATACATATGCTGCAGACATACACAGATTTAACTCTGACCAGAGATTTAAAGACTAAAGCTAAAAAGCAGACAAATTGGTCAAAGAGCAACGCAAAAGCGGAGAGAATATGTATCACATTCTGAGGCTTATGTGTTAAAATTCAGTACCAAAACTCTTTGGAGGAGCCACCTCTGTTCTCTACCTCCAACTTCCCTCTTCATTCTCTCTTGAGCTTAACTCTAGCCAAGCATTCACTCTCCACCTCTCATCATAGTCACTGTAGAGGGCTGTGAACCATTAAGCCATGGAGACAGCCACTGCCCCCACCCCCATCTACTCCTTGGAGCACATCCTCACCTGGTTGCTACACCCCCACTTCCCTGGTTCCCTTCCACTTAAGAGGCTGCCCCTTTCCAGTCCCTCCTGTCCATTCCTCCTCCTGTTGCCTACTTCTGAGCGCTATGGGGCAGCAGCCAGTCACTGTACCCCGTCTTTTCTCTGTCTAGCTCACTCCCTTGGCAGTCTTGTCCAGTTTAATGTCTGTAGTGCCATCTATACATTAATGATTCTTAGATTTCCAGACTGAGCCTTTTCCCTAAATTCCAATATATTCAACCTCCTACTCATTTCTAACTGCATGACTAATAGGATCTCAAAATGTCATTTGTTCAAAACTGATCTCATAATGTTCAGTGGTCCCACCTCAAATCTGCTCCTCTTAAAGCTGTCTGCATCTCAGGAAACGGCAACTCAATTCTTAAGTTGCTCAGGCCAAACATCTATAAGAGAGCTTCCACTCCTTCCTCTTGCATAATTTACATTCAGTCTATTAAAAAAAACTCATCAGCTCCACCTTCAAAACATATCCAGAATCCACCTACTACTTACTGCCTCTCCTGCTACCACCTGGGTCCTAGCCTCTACCAGCTCTTACACACACAACTGCAATAACCCCTCCTCTGCCAGGTCTCTGGGCTCCTGCATTTGCCCTGCTATATATACAGACAATACAGCAGCCAAAATGATTTTGTTAAAACACAAGTCAGATGCTCAAAACTGCCCAGTGACTTTCCATCTCCTCTGAGTAAAAGCCAGAGTGCTCACAGCGGCCTGTAAGGCCACCCTGATCTGGCCTCTGCTGCTTCTCTACTACTCACTCATCCCAGCCACAATGGCTTCCTCCCTGAACCCTCATATACTCCAGGTATCCTACAGCCTCAGGACCTTGGACTTGGCTTTCTCCTCCTTAAATGCTCTTCTCGCATACAGCCACCTGATTAACTCACTCACCTTCTGGCAACCATTCCTCTGAAAAGAAACAAAACAAAACCAAAAACCAAAAATCCCCAAACACATCCTCTCTTGCTGGTTTGTTCTCTCTTCTTAGCACCACTTACCATCATCTAAACACCATGTGTGTTTGTGTGTGTGTTAACTTCACTTTCTTCGCCTAACTGCCTCCCACCATTAGAATATAAGTTCCATGAGGGCATGTACTTTGTGCCGTTTTATTGAATTACAGTATTCCCAGTACCTAGTATGGCATTTGGCACACAGTAGGGGCTCAACAAATTTTTGTCAATTCAAAGAAAGGTGCAATTTCAAGACACTGCTAGGGAGCTGGAGGAGTGTGTCACAGTCAGGGCCAGAAGGTCACATGCAGGTTGTTCTTCTCCTCTTTGCCACACTCTTTTTGGGGCTTTGCCTTATTGAAGCAATAAATCTCAGTGTATGTTACTCTACCTAAGAAACTGTGGGTTACAGAAAATACCCAGGAGAATCCCCTGTGCATTTCCCACCTCGCAGAGGAACAGTGAGAGGGAAGAAACACTGCAGATAATAACCTAACTACATTTACAAGTTCATGTTTCAATTCCCACCCTACAAACATGCACTGAGCATGGATGTGCCTACAAAGCACAATACAAGTCATAGTGAAAACAAAGAGAAAGATGAGATGGCTCTGAATTCCCATTCCTACACACTTAAAATTATATACAGGAACCAAACATCAAAACAAACAAAAACTAACACCAGATCATGATACGAACACACATACTATGAGAGTATAGGATAAGGAGCTATTATAATTAAGGAAATGATAATCATACCCATTATAACTAAAAACTTGATAATTTATGAATTTAATAAGCTTCAATGTTGAAAAACTCAGCAATTAAGCTTTAGGCCTCTAGTCGAAATTACAATAAAAAAGGAAATCTCCCAAGATTTCAGAGGATTTTAATGAAGATGACAGAATAAAACAATGTACTTATACTATAAAACCATGATTCTAATTATTCTTATACAATAGAATTAAAATAACATCTAGTTTCCAAATGTTTTCTACTTCTTTCTTAGAATGAAGACATATAGAGCTTTATAACTATCAACTGAGAAAAACAAGATTAATATGGCTAAATTCCACAATTTACAATGAATCTCCTCTTCCAAAATAAAGACTCCTAGATGCAGAAACTCTATTTATAAAGATGTCATTGTCTCAAATCCAGAGAACAGTTATAAAAACTCTAAACTTCTAAAATTAAATATATGTAACAGCTACTGATCTAAGGCTTACACCATAAAACAATTTGAGCTAAACTTTACTATTTTACTTTTTAAGAAGATAAGCTATTATAAACTGTAAAATAAATGTTAAATATCACTGAAAGTCAGGTGGCACGTGGGTCTGGAATAAGGAAAATTAATATACCATAAGTGGGAGAAATGTCAAAAAGATGACTTCTGGAAATCTGTCTCACATTTGTCTGATCGTAGCCAGTTAGGAACGGTCTACCTGTTTTCAAGACCCTTGAAACCATCATTTTATTTATACTAAAAAATTTAAAACTTAAAATAATATTTTAAACTTTGCCCGACATGCACGAAATTGGGTATTTTAAGTTACAAAAGAACTAATATGGAGTTTTATGAGAGTCCGAGCACGTCATTGGTTAAGTGTGAAGAGCAACTGATTTCTAACAGTACTTACCTTAAACAAGGCATATGCTGTTAGTGCATTTCCACTCTGGGAATTTTTCAGAATGTTTACTACACTGTCAGGTAACCCAATGAGTTCTAGAAAAGGAACGACATTCACTCCTCTAAGAAAGAAACAAAGTAATTTAGATATATATACACACAAACTTTAAGGGGTAAATATTTTCAAAAAATTTTCTGAAAACACCAAAACCAATTTTATTTAAAAGTCACTTCTGCAGTGAGCACCTGAGTGGCCTCAGTTGGTTGGATGTCTGACTTTGGCTCATAATCTCATGGTTTGTGGGTTCGAGCCCCTCATAGGGCTCTGTTGACAGCTCAGAGCCTGGAGCCTGCTTGGGATTCTCTGTTTCCCTCTCTCTCTGCCCCTACCCCGCTCATGCTCTATTTCCGTCTCCCCGAAATAAATAAATGTTAAAAAAAATTTTTTTTCAGTCACTTCTGAAATCACTGTGATTTCACTCTAGAAGAACATATACAGAACATCAATGTTGCACAGTATCTTGCTGTTTGAAGCTTCTGCTTTGCTTCTGCACATGGACATTCCTAATTACCGTATTTTTAAAAATAGAAGGATCTAGCAGAGTTAAGTTAATTGCTTTCAATGACCTAAGAGGAAAGAAAGGATCAGAATCATTTACCTGGTCTTAGTTTCCTCAGTCAAATACCACTTTCTCAGAATGCTCCAATTCAAACTTCAAGACCTAAGCTTTTCACCTCTAAAATTGTATGTTAGGCTATACTGTTATTGTAAAAGCAATACTAAGTATCACTTATTGTGTTATTATGCAAAGAAGAAATAATTCTATGGGCTTGATAAAAACTTCAATTATTCTAAAAGGATGCCTAGCAGGCTTAAAAGGCAGGTGAAGAAGCAATTACCATAAATTGCAACAAATTTTTGGAGGGAGAGAAGGCAGAGAAAAGTCTCTAATATGAACTGTTAAGCCCTAATTTATTTTTAGTTTCCCTGATTATCAACATTTCGCATACTGGTGTGTGCTATTTCACGCTCTTGCTCTCTCACTGTGTGTTGTTTTACAGACACTGTGACCCTTCACCCCTAAATCAGGACAAGGTTCTTGTTCTGTGCTTTTCCTACATAAATATAAACATAACTATCATATTCAGGAAATGTAACATACAATAAGAGTATATAATTAATACACAATATATTATTTAATATTAAAATTTCCTGAATTGTCCCAGCATGTCCTTTATCAGTATCTTGTCATTTCTCTCTGGTCTCCTTTTCTCTAGAAGTACTCCCCAGAACTTTTTGTTGAAGAGGGCAAGACAGTCTTTGACACTGAGATTTTTGAAGCACCCAGGCCTGTTGCATGGGAGAATATCCCTCAATTTGGATTTGTCCACTTGTTTCCTCCTGGTCAGGTTAAGGTTAAACATTTTCCAACAGAAAAACCACACAGTTAATTCTGTCTGTCTTGGTGCATCGTAACAGAAGCCACATGATGTCACTTTGTCCCATCACTGGTATTAAATGTGACTCTTGGGTAAGGTAGGGTCCAGAGGGTGTTCCACTATACAGGTATTCTTTCTTTTTGTAATTAAGAAGGGGAATTGCCTAGATCCATTATTATCACAGGTAGCTGTATCCTACATAACAGCTAGCAAACTCTTAATTTATTCTTAATATTAAAAAATAATTTGGGATGCTTAGGTGGTTCAGTTGGTTAAGTGTCCAACTTTGGCTTAGGTCACGATCTTGAAGTTCATGAGTTTGAGCCCCACATCAGGCTGTCTGCTGTCAGCACAGAGCCCGCTTCAGATCCTCTGTCTCCCTCTTTCTCTGCCCTTCCTTTGTTTGTACTTTCTCTCAAAAATAAACAAACATTTAAAAAAATAATTTAATTAATTGGGGGAAAGTTGTTATCCCTCTATGACTTCACTAAAATACTACAAAATCAGGGACTACTCTCAAGAACATATGGCTGATCATCATCAAAGAAAATTATGTATCATCTATAGGAGGAAAGCAGATAACTGAAGGAATCTTTAAAAAGTTTTATGAAGTCGACTCTAAGTCCAATCTGGTTTCTTCTTTCTCCACCATCAGTTCATTTTCAAATCTCTTTCTTAGATAACAAGAGAATCCTACTAAAGCAAGACTTAGTACTACAAGGACTTAGCTATTCTGTGAATCGAATCAAGTCACAATGTACTACAATATGCTAATTATATATTCTAGAACCAATACAATTATAAAATTATGTAATTAATCATTTCCTACCCCGGTATGTAAAATCCACCTATTTAACAGCAACCATGAAGGGGAAAAAAAGACAAACATTTGGCCAAAAATAAGACAAAACTGAGTGATTAAAAAAAAAAAAACACTATCATAAAGATCAAACAATAATTACCCAAACACCTTGCACAAGTATCCTTTATAAAATAAAGAAGCAAATATTTGGTTCTATTTAATTCTAAAATATTGATTTGATGGTTTCATTATTTTAAGAATAAAAATAACTATAATTTCCTTTGAAACTGCTATATATGAAATACTAATGAGGGACTGATTTAAACAGTAATACCTACTTGTCGCTTTTTACTCGGAAGATTCCATGGCCTGACAGAAATCTGCGCTTCACAAACTGCCAGCTTTATGGATGTTTCAATTGATGAAGAAATACACAAGGGTACAAACACATTCACAGTACAGATAAAATGCAGTAAAAATTAGGCAGGATTTTGCTTCAGAATGGATCTATAACTTTAGAGACTTGAGGCCTAAAACACGAGGCCTTTGTCACTATATGGACAAAACCATCATCACAAAGCTACATTTGATCAGAGAACACTTCCGGTTGGAAGATATAAGATCTCTGCAAGTTTTGCCAGATAGAAGGGACACCAAAGCTTAGTTTAAAATAAAAATCTATTAACATGTACAATTTAGATTTTCCTGAAATAAAATGTTTCAAAAGTCTGAGATCTTTATCACTGAGTTAACTAAACACAAAATGGCATTTTGCACTATGATGTCTAGAAGGCAGTAAGGCTAGCTGTCAGAGTGACTAAAACAGACACTGGTCAGTAACATAGTGTGATGTCAAATGCCCATCTTCCAAGTTACAAACCATTTCTTCCCTTTCTTTTACTAGCTAAGTAGGTAATAAGCAAATAACAGAATTTGCCCCACTAAAACAAAATAAAATAAAGCCAATCTCTTGTCAGTTGAATTGAAAACCTGTATTTAATACAATCAACTTCAATCTAGTAAAAGGCGAAAGACTTATGCAATCTGAAGAGAAACCAGAGTATACAATCAACTTCAATCTAGTAATAAAACCACATTGCAGAGAAAGATACACTGGCATTAGAACATATCCTAAATCTTTATTTTGTAAGTATTACCCTTGATAAGATCTTTACTTAGAATAAATCAACTTTCTGAAGGGATAGGATTTAATAAAAACATTAGCAACTGTTCTGGGGAGCAACACATCCTACAAAATTGAAATTAACTGTGTGATGAACTGGACCAGTGCAGGGGTGGTAGGTGTGGCAACCACAGTCCCAAGCTGACAAACAGCCAAAAGGCAAATTGTGATGGATAAAGGGACATGACTTTAAAGTGGATGGTCTTAGGTGGGTGGCTCAGTCCGACCTCAGCTCAGGTCATGATCTCACGGTTCGTGGGTTCGAGCCCCGCGTCGGGCTCTGTGCTGACAGCCAGCTCAGAGCCTGGAGCCTGTTTCAGATTCTGTGTCTCCCTCTCTCTCTGACCCTCCCCTGCTCACGCTGTTTCTTTCTCGCAGAAATAAATTTAAAAAACACTTAAAATTAAAAAAAATAAATTAAAAAATAAAGTGGATAGTCTTACCACCACATTTATATACAAGTATTCTGCAGAAAAAGCGGGGAAGGATAAAATAAGTGTGCATTCCACAGGAAACGACAGAATGTTACCACAACTGCCTCAGTGGCAGACAACACTGAAAAAGTCGTAAGGATAATTATTCATATCACTAGGTTACTTAGGGTCTGCTTTTTCAGTTATAGAACTCTTTTACATAAGAAGGTAAGGAAAAGTAAAAGGAACAAAAGCGCTCTTTTTTAACAGTCCAAACGAGAATCTCATATTCAATTAGTTAAAACCATAAATTTCTCCCTCCAAGGCCTCCTGGCCAAATGCTTATAAAGGGCAACCTAAAGTGAGCAGAACTATTACTCATATCATTTTCCAGAGTACTGCATCCAAAAACCATCAATGGCTCAAAAAAGAACTTGGACATGTACACGGCCATTAATTAGATACAGCTAAATCCTATAATAAATTTTATTCAAAATGGTACATGTTTTAAACCAAGGGCAATTTTGAAGACTTCTATAAATACTATACACGTTCATAAAAATGTCACTAATGAAAAAGATACTTCCATAAAGTATACATACAAGGATCTTCTGTAAAGGATAATAATATGTGATAAAGAAGGATATAACTAACTGAATATTAGGAAGATAATGGAAACATGTGAAGAGAATTAGAACAGCATCAACTATACAAGGTAAAAAATCCTTATAGAACTTTTGTAAATAAACACCTCTAATCCTGTGTTTTCCAAAAGTAAGTACAGTCTTCACTTCATTATCTTTTAATTTAATAAAAAATAACCTTGTCCCCAAAATGACATATTTTATTAATACCTTAATATTAAACCATTAAATAAAACAAAAAGTTGAAAATCAGTGGACTTTTAGAAAGAATAAAATAATTCTAGAGCCATAGGAGATTTTACTAAAACGTCAAAGTAGTATACATTGGGCCATTCCATTGCCCTCAGGATGGCGAGCTCCTTCAACTCTGTCACGCCCAGGCCACTACAAGAAAAGCCCACACAGTACGTTCAAAGAAACAGGCACACACGCATCAGAACGCTTTGGTTGCCAGTGGCAGAAACAAACTGGAAATCATTGAGATCTGTCTGTTTCAATGTGTGCTCCTGCTCCTAAAATACCATAAATAATATAACTTACCTTAAAAGAAAGGAAGAATATTTGTACTTAACAAGAAAGGTACATTTAGAAATTCTGTGTATTACAATATCTGCATGCTAGGCCCGCCAAATTAACTATTTTTAAAAGTTAATTTTAGTTGTGGTAAGAACACCTAACATGAGATCTACACTCTTAATTTTTTAAGTATACAACAAAAATGGGGCACCTGGGTGGCTTAGTCGGTTGAGCGTCCGACTTTCGCTTAGGTCATGATCTCGCGGTTCGTGGGTTCGAGCCCCGCATCAGGCTCTGTGCTGACTGCCAGCTCAGAGCCTGGAGCTTGTTTCAGTCTGTGACTCCCTCTCTCTCTGACCCTCCCCTGCTCACACTGTCTCTCTCTCTCTCTCTCTCCTAGAAATAAATAAAAACATTAAAAAAAAATTTTTTTAAGTATACAACAAATTAACTTCTGATTAGAACAAAAGACCTTACCTTGACATTTATCAGATGTGAATAACACTAAAACATAACTCTGCAATTTGCTTATTTTTATATCTGCCAGGCTTTAGCAAAAATATCATCCTAACTTCCCACCAAAATCATACATATGGCAAAATAATAGGTATCTTTTTAAATTTGTGAACACTTCAAGAAATATAGAACTCATGGTGCTGCCAAATTTTTGCACTCTCTTATATCTGTGCTATGCTAAATGTTGACAGTTGAACATAGAGCAGGGACTTTGAAATAAGACTCCAAAATATTTTGGGAAAAGTTAAGTTATTTTGACTTACTCTTGCTTAATCTCATTAATAAGGTGGGAATAATTATACAACCTAGTTGTGAGAATTAAATAAAAGGATATAGTAAAATTTTAGTATAATGCCTGTTAAACTCACTAAGCAAATTTAGCTAAGAAAATATCAAAAACAGCTATGAACAGCAGTCACAGTCATCAGTTAAAGACATTAAAGCGTTGAAAAAATTATTTAAGGCTTTCATACTACAATTAAGAAGATTAATATTCTGATAAAACAGGGAAGGTGCTCAACCAAGCAAAAACTTACTTTATGGCTGCATAATAAAATGTTCCAAACCAAACACCAGAAGTTATTAGATGCACTGGAATCAAAACTTTTCCATATTGTCTAAATGTTTTCTTAAATCGTTGATAAAGACTAATAGATTTGTCTTGTAAAGGATCAGTCTCTTCCTTTTTTTCCGCAGGAGTTCCTGGGGATGTGGCATTGGATGATATAACCCTCTTGCATAAAATATCTTGCTCCCACTGTTTATGGTGAAGGACCCCCAGTTGGGGTGGATGAGCAGTGAATGGCTTCTTTTCCTTTGCAACACACTGGACAGCAGATAAGTGCAGCCATTGTTTTCGAGGGCCCTGTACCAAAACTACTCTGGATTCAGCTTTACACAAAAGTAATGGTCCCTTTATGTTTTGACAGTGTCCAAAAAGAACAGCTGTATGTGGTTCCATACATGTCCTATGTGCCAGTCGGAATACAGACCGTGGTACATTCCACTGCATTTTGAAGAACGGTGATTAGTGAATTTCAGCTTCTACAGAGACCAGATCTAAAAAAAAAAAAATTAGTATACATTGATTTCCATTTTAAACCAATCCACTTAAAAATAAATCATTAATTATTAGGAAATAAAAGACACTGTTACCAAATCCACAGAAATTAATGTTAAGGTATATAGTTCTAACATATCACAATTTTAAAACATTATACCAAAATACATCATTTAAATAGGATATAGTAAACTAGTCCAGCAGACATCACAGAGGATAATGTTTTGAGGTTATTTTATTGCTACACAAGGGATGTTTGTAGGGCTTCTGGTTTTCTACAAAAAAGCTGTGTAATACATGGAAAAATCATAAGATCTAGAAACAAAAATCTAGGCCCTCATGTTTTGGGGACACAATTCCATGCAATCGCCTTTGAGACTTCAAGCTTAAGTCCACTAGTAAAATGAGGATTACTTCACAGGCTTGTTATAGAAACTACATGAAATTTCTGATGTCAAAGTACTTTTGTAAGCTAACAAGCATCACATAAGTTATTATTACAACTGTTAAGGTCTGAAAAACAGTTGATACAAGTACCATTAATTCTATAATACCTTTGGACTAAATCAATTCCTTTGGCCAGTGAGGAGATAATATAGTTTACCAGATATCTAAAACTTTTTGTCAGAATGACAGTATAATGTAATTTTAAAAGAATACAGATTTGGAATAAGATAGACACAACTGAGGTAACAGTGTTATTACTTTGAGCAAATTACCTAGCTTCTCTAGACATAATTTCTCTCACTGGTTAAGTAGAATTACAATATGTATTACTATATAGCAAATTAGTTCCCTTCTCTTAATATCAGGCAGAGTCACCTGACCACTAATCTCCACTCCCAACCCACACCAGCAATCTTACTACTACTACATTGTGAATGATCTTATTTTTTTAAACTGTACACTAAATAAGTCAACAGTATTTGAGTTACCACCCCAATAAATCAACATTCCAATAAATACAGATATTCCATTTCACATGAATGTTATCTGGGGTACAAAGCTGTCTATCATTATATAAAAATATCTACTGATAAATTGTCCCAAATTAAAATTAATCTCCTGACTCATCCCTCCCTAATTTAAAATTAACATCAGCTTCTGTTAGGCTCTTACAGATAATCCAACAACACAATGTAAATAAATTATGAAATGAAACTGCACATCTTGCAAATAGGCTCCCAGGAAACCTTTAAAGGGGATACTGAAGATTGCTGCAATGAAAAACAAGGTCAATTACAAGTAAGCTGAAGAATCAGACCAATTTAACAATTGGAAAAACTACAGGTATGATAACAGGTGCTTCAAATAATGACTTAAATATTAAATGACTAAGAAAGACCATAGAGAAAATGATTAAATCCTTAATTATTTTTACAAAATTGACTTATTATTTGCTGTGAAAGTACAACATTACGTAAAGGATGTCTTAGTGTGCTTTCTTACAGTCCATATCCTACACTGTTTTGTTTTCCATAAATCTATGCTATACCTATTTAAAGGGTGAAAAACATCAACTGCTTATTTAGTCTAAATAGCTCAGGTGGAATTATAACCTAAAATTTGTCAAATAAAATGTTTTGCTTCATTTTTCACAAAAAAAAATCCTTTTGAATATTTTACTATATTTTTGGTCTCTATTTTTTTGTCGGATTTGAGGATTTTCTCCAGCACTACTATCTTTGAATTATTCCTGTCTGTGGCTTTATCGGTGTTTTCTGGACTCAAAGACTTTGTTTCTTTTAAATCAACTTCCTTTACAAGGCAGTTTTCCAGGAGTTGAAGTTCCCAGAAGACTAACTTTCAGATAATTAATTATGTGTTTGTGAATAAAGTAGAAGAAAAAAAAAGATTAAAAAAATTTATACAGTAGGTTTTTTTTAATTTTCTAAGTTTTATTTTATTTTATATGAAGGAGACAGAGATAGAGTGGAGGAGGAACAGAGAGAGGGAGAGAAAGAATCTCAAGCCAACTGCATTATGCCAGCACAGAGCCCAATTCGGGGCTCCAACTCACAAAACCGTGACATCATGACCTGAGTCGAAACCAAGAGTTGGATGCTTAACTGACTGAGCTATCCCAGTGCCCCTAATTTTTTTTTAATGTTTATTTATTTTTGAGAGAGAGAGAGAGAAGGAGCACAAGTGGTAGAGGGGCAGAGAGAGAGGGAGACACAGAATCCAAAGCAGGCTCCAGGCTCTGAGCTGTCAGCATAGAGCCCGATGCAGGAGAGGACCCACAGACTGCAAGATCATGACCTGAGCTGAACTTGGATGCTTAACTAACTAAGCCACCCAGGAGCGCCGCTCCCCCACCCCGCAATAAGATTTTTTTAACAGTCTCTTTCCAAGCTTCCAGCTTTCACCCTTTCCCCTGGTTTCCCCAACTACTCCCTCCTTTTTAAGGAAAATATTTTTATCCTATCCCACTTCTTACTGCCTATTTTAAAAAACATCTTTATTGAGATACAATTCACATACTCATTTAAGGTACAGAATTCAATAACTTTTAGTATATTCACAATTGTGATGCCATCCCCACAATCTCAGTTTAGAACATTTCATCACCCCCAAAAAGAAACCCCATATCTATGAGGAGTCACTCACTATTTCCTCCCCATCCCAGCCCCCTGCAACCATTAATCTATTTTCTGTCTCTCTATATTTGTCTATTCTGGAGGTTTCATATAAATGGAATTATATTACATGGTCTCTTGTGACTGGCTTCTTTCACTTAGCATACCACTTCAAGAGTCACCTGTGTATTATCTTTCTTCCCTTAGAAACCAATCTTTAGGCTAGTGGTTTCCAAAACTGGCTACACATCAGAATCATAGCAGGTTGGGGATGTTGAGGGAAAGGAGAGGTAGTCTGAAAAACCAGATTCCTGGTCTCCATCTAGACCTAATAAATTGGAATCTCCTATTGCCAGGCCACACTTGACAATATGAATTAGGGGATCATTTCTCTAGGCCCAGCAAATGGCTTCAGTGCCAGAGGCAACATGGTGGCATTAAAATAAGTAAAAACAATAAAACCAAAACAAAGTAGGAGTCATCTTGTCTCACAGCAAGCACCTGTGTATAATGGCCTCAACCCACTGGCAGTTTCTATTTCTGGATTTTAGTAGCCTGTTCATCTTTTCAATTAAAGATAAAAGTTTTCAGTTATCGGTCAATGATGGAAGTGCTACTCCTCATAAACACTACTCAGATGAAATCAGATATATCTGGACAAGTGGATGATTGGCCTGAAGAAGCTGTGAACTAACAGGCCTCTAACTATTTCTGATACAAATGCAGAACCTGGAGGGATGAACAACTTAAACTTGAATTTCTTCCAATGAAATACACTAATTTCAGTAACACATTCTTTAAATCATTAGACATAGCATATAACAAAAGTTACCTGTTATTTCCTACCCCTAGATATGAAATTCTAATATCTATAGATGAGGCAGTGTTCTAAACTGCTTATTGCTTCAGTTATGGAAATAAATGCATTACTGGACCCAAGAGAAGTGATACGATTAGAGTGCTTGTTATGACTATCCTTTTCCACTTTAGAACTATGTCATAAAAACTGATAATACTGCAAGTGGCTGGCATATGATTAATGGTGCCTAATTCTCTGTACACAATCCTACCCTGTATGGTAGGGACACTGATTCTATCATGTCTTAATTTTCGCAAGCAGGCAATAGGGTTTAACAACTGATAGCCTGGAATCCAAGAGGTCAGAATGCCCAAGTTCACATCCTGAAAACACTATAACTACAATCTACCTAATAATAAACAAGTTAATTAGCCCCCTTGTACCTTGTTTTCCAATTTGTAAAGTGGGGTTAATAACAGCACCTACTTCATAAGGTTATGAGATTAAAATAAATGTAAAATGTTCAGAAAATGACTAGCATGTAGCAAGTGCTCAGAAAATGTTACAAGTTATTCTGATAAGTAAACAAGGTAGGCGGTTGCTCTTATTCACAGTGAAACAGTCTAAGGATCAGTGCCTGAGTTGAATGGGGATTAGACAGAATAAAAGGTTGCTTAGGATGGCTCTGGCACAGAACTTGAAAAACTATATGAAACTTAACTAATCAATCCAATAATATCCAGTCTCTTAGGTCAGGATAGGCCCAAGACCAGTCATGAAGAAGCAGTAATATACATGTCTGAAGGTTGGGCTTCTCATGTAGCAATTCTGAGGCAAAGAGAAGATGAAGACATAGTGGTAAAGAGTAAAGGTATAAAGCTTCCAGTTACAGAATGAATAAATCATGAGAATAAAAGACACAGCATAAGGAATATAGTCAATGATATGGTAATAGTGTTGTATGGTGACAGATGGTAGCTACACTTATGGGAGCCTAGCATAATGTACAGAATTGTCAAATCACTACCTTGTACACCTGAAACTAATGTAACATCCTATGTCAACAGAAGGAAAGAAAAGAAGAGAGAGAGAGAGAAAGGAGTAAAAGTATAAGGAAGCCGTGGGAACCAAAATAAGAGAAGCCAAGCTAAAGGAATGATGGAGAAGGATGAATGGATTGAAACAAATGCCAATGAGAAAGCACAAATGTTAGAATGTTATGGAATTCTAGAGAAGCTATATCCTCAAATTGCAGTTCCATGACGCAAATGAATCAGTTCATGACATTCCTTTACCCCTTCTGTATCCTAACTAAACCCACACTGTTTAAGATTTACATGAACGTGTTTCTGTTCCTCACAGCCTGGAACACTAAGACATTCAAGCAGCACTAGAAATACAATAACTAGAAATACAAAAGGAATTAAGTAATTTATATTCCATTCTTATATAAGAAAAGCAGCTAACTAAAAGGACAGTTGAGACAAATTCCAACAGCAAGATTTAGTGCTCTATTGGGCAAATTAAAAAAACTCTTGTCATATAAAATCTTACTTAGAAGTTCAATCAACCAGTCAATCAATCAATCAATAAATGCAAAGTTGCTCAGGTTAAAGTGGGA